GTTCGTCCTTTCCGGCCTGACGTGCTCGGGCACCACGCGGTTGTTGACTGCGCCCCCAGCGAATGGGCGGACCCCGTCGACCTCGCCGTCCGTAGAGGATGCGCCGGCGTCCGGGGGGTTGAGGCCGGAGCTGCCCCGGGATTTCGGAAAGAAGGTGGATCATGTGCTTCGGCGGGGGAGGAAGGGGGAGGAGGAAGGAGAAGGAGCAGACGTTGAAGAGGTGGATGTGCTTGACACCCTGACGCAGTGCATCAAGGGTCTCGTCGAGCCTGATTGTCGGAAGCGCTCCTCTTGTGCTGAGCTCAGGAAGACGTTGGTGAAGATGTTGGCGATGGCTGAGGCGAGGGAGTAGACCTCTCCGTTCTTGGTTTTTTTGAGCACTTGAGGTGCTTTTTTGCATTCGTGTCACTCACGTTTGAGGGCACACATCTCCGTTCTATCTCATGAGGCATCATCTGTTTGGCACCCTTTTGTTTTTTGCGACGCTACAGCGAATTTTGCATCTCCTCATCGGCATCGAAAACCATCATAAACAAATAATGTAACATTAGGAATTAGCTACGTTAGATAGATTCAGTCCTACTCTTAGCATAACGAAGTCATGATTTGATTAAACTGTACGGATACTTTCAAATGCAACTCGTTTGGAGCAAATTTGAGCTTGCTATAGATGTGTCTTGGCCGTTGTTTTCGGGTTAGATGATAAGCTGCTTATAGCTAACTTCAATTGTTTTTGGCAAGGTGGCCGAGCGGTCTAAGGCGGCAGATTTAAGCGAACTTTTAACGTTCTCGAAACTCTGCTACTCGTAAGAGTGCGTGGGTTCGAACCCCACCCTTGTCAGGGAGATTTAAGTTTTTTTCTCTTCTCATCTTTTTTTATCTTATCTTGTCGATCTTATCGCTTTCATCTTATCTTCAATCTATACGAATTACGAGACATCTCCCCGACATCAGCAGTGCATCAATTGATCCATCGTCGTTCAGTCGTTTCCCCACTCTACTCTACGGAGTACATCATATCAATCCCCAGCTCTCTCAAGCCTCTCAATCGATCAAACAACCCGTCAATCCCTCTGCATGTCGCTCACAATGCCGAAAGACATCATTCCAGAAGACACACCACTCCCCTCATCTTTCAACGAGTAAGTTAGCCCCAAAACGAGGCCGAGACAATCCGTGAGGCTCCAAGGCAGCCACTAACTAGGCCAATGTGAAAATGCAGTGAGTTTTTCGAGGAGAGCCGCTGGCAAAAGCTTTCCAGGAAGCTCAAGAGAGAGCCTCTCATTCCCCTAGGTACGCAAACGAACTCAACAGACAGCCCTTTCGTCCCGTTTAGACCACGTTCCCTCGCCCACCCCAATCCCGCAACGGTCGTTGTCTGAAACCTTAATTCTAACGCTCCCAACCCCCGCAGGCTGCGCCGCAACCTCCTACGCGCTCTGGCGCGCCTACAAGTCCATGAAAGCCGGCGACTCCGTGCAACTGAACAAGATGTTCCGCGCCCGTATCTACGCGCAGGCCTTCACTCTGTGCGCCGTCGGGTTCGGCGGTATCTACTACGCGGCGGAGAGGCGCGCGGAGCGGGAGCTCGAGCGGGCGCTGGACGAGAAGAAGAACCAGGAGAAGAGGGATGCGTGGTTGAGGGAGCTGGAGGTGCGGGATCAGGAGGATAAGAATTGGAGGGATAGGCATGCGGCGATCGAGGCGGTGGCGAATGCGAAGGATGCGGAGGAGAGGAAGAAGGTTAGTGAGCTGTTGGCGCAGGAGGAGGTGGATAAGGTGTTTAAGGGGGAGCCGGAGAAGAAGGAGGAGAATGGTGTGTTGGGTAGCATGTTTGGGAAGAAGTAAGCCTGTGCGAGGGCGCGGTTGTTATTCTGCTGTTTATTTAGAATGTACATATCTAAGAATGTACATATGAGAGTATGTTTCCCAAGGACAATTCCCAATCTATACAATTCCTTCAAAAGTGATATATTCCTCACTCAAAGTATGTCGAACGCCAAACTCCAAACCAATTACCGGGTGCGATGATAGTAATACATAACCATGACGGAACAGTCGTCCGCCTTAC